ACGGGAAGAAATTAAAGGCTCCTTGCTCTTACTATCCTATAAATTGAAGGCAAATTGCAACTCGAAATGGGGGGGAAGAACCTGAGAGAATCACAGAGAGTAAAGCAGCGGCTAGACTGCTATCTACGCAGCTCCGATGGCGGTGGGCGGTGGAGGAGGCGACACCCAGTGGCGGCGACGGTAGCGGCTGCAGCTCCGGCCGGATATGGGCGGCTATCTCCAACTCCGTTCAAGCTCCAATTACTTCAATTTCATCTTCTTCAACAATTGGTAACCCTATATGTTATTTCTTCAATTTCTTCTCCAATTTCATTGTAAAAGTGTTGTTTCAATTCAAATTTACATTTTTTCCCTTGTTTGTGTTAATTTCGAAAATTCCAAAATGGTTGGTGTTCTTTTATGGGTTTTTTTTACGTTATACTAGTATTTCTACCCGTGCCATGCACGGGGTAATACACAATTTTTGTCAATTCTAAAATTTGTTCCATTAAATTTATGTTTTGGAAGAAAGAAAATATATTTCTCACATGATTTTTATAACAATAGGTGTAAAATGCCAAGGTAGACTTAATAATATTCGAGCAATTGAACGTAGACTGAACAATATTTATTTTTATACTACATTTATTGAAAGACTTCAGGATATACAACATTCTTGTTATGATTGCAATGGTTTCCATTATCATTTAGAACTAATATTTTTAATCTCGTCTTTGTCTTTACTCACGAAACAGCAACATAAAGTTGATCATGTGTGAACACCCACTTGGTTAAAAATAATCCCACAAATGACAATGTTTGACCTTGACTTTTGTTGATAGTCATAGCAAAACATAAGACGATTGGGAATTGTCTCCTTTGGAACTTCATGGGTAGTCCTGGATCAGATGGTAGCAAATTCATTCTTGGGATGCAAACCTATTTCCCGACTCGATTTCCTGACACCACAATTGCACTGATAACATTGTTTCGCAGCTCTTGAATGATTAAGAGATAGGACAAATTAATTTATCATTTCAACTACTTCGAGAGTTGGTGCCAATAGTGCTCTATCCTCAAAAAAAAATTCATATTCTCTAACATATTCGGATAAGTAAACTATATTATACTCTTGATAGGTGAACTTGTATCAGGAATTAAGAATTCAGGTGGAATATCGACATCACTAACTCCATCAATCACCTAACCTAGCTTTCCATCTCATATTCTTAGACAATGTAAAAACTTTACAGCACGACCACAAATGTGAGGAATTGATCGTAGCACTACAATTTCATCTCTGGAAGCTCTGGGTAAAACTGGAAGGGTCTACCAAAAGTCACCTCCGAGTATAACTATTTTCCCTCCATATATATTTTCGGTATTGATTTTCATCCATATATATGAATTTCCATTCATAAATCATTGTAATTGATTTATTTAAGTAAGTAATCAAGTGGTCTTGAAGTTGTATTGTTTAATATATAGGAGTTTCCATAAACATGCCTATAAAAGTGAGAAATTTAGGTAATCAAAAAATAAGAAAGTAAGATTCATGATTAATGCATTAAACAGTCTATTACTATTTAAAGTTTTATTCTGGTTTATTTATTATGGTTTTTGTTTTTGAATATTTTAAAATTGTTTAACTTTCATGGTTTATTTAAAGGATATGAGTTGTATTAATGATAGGATTTCTGGTGTAGTACTATTTAAGGGTACTATATTAGTTTTGATCCATATATATAAATTTACTTTTATAAATCTTTGTAATTGATTAATTTAAGTAAGTAATCTCACAACATATTTGTAAGTTAAATGATTAATATATTTAAAGTGGTCTTAACGTTCTATTATTTATTTAGTTTTCACTTAATTGCATAAAATTTCATGAAGGTTCTTATTTCTTCCATAATACGCCCTCTGTATTTGAATTTAATCTTCTTATTTGACTTCTCTTGGTCAATTTTGTATACTTTAACCTCGATATATAGAACATTGTCTTTCGATAGAAATGTATTACCAATAACTTCTTTTTGAAACTAATGAATCTCTTCATGTTTGGTAACTCCTATTTTAGGGATAAAAAAATATGCATTTTTATTTTGGTACTTTCTTCATGTTTTATTCTTATTATGGTACGTAGTATTTTTTTTCCAAAAAATCATAGCGGCACTTTGTACATAAGGCATATACTCCATATACAACTTAAATTGATTCTACCCATGTTTTGATTAAAATTGCCACATCATTCAAGTAGTTAATAGGTGGCGAGTGATTTGTTAAAATATTCTCATATAGACTCACAACTTGTTGCAATTCTAAGAGTTTAACTCTCAAATTTAATATACAAATCTTTCTGTTTTTATTTTAGTAAAGTGAATATTCCAAAAAAGGTAATTATAGCTAGTTGGGATGACCAATTAAAGAGTCATTAATGTTGCAATTTAAAAAGTCAATATTGTTTGTTAATTAAAGCAATTTTGAAGAACAAAAGGAAATTGAATTTGTTGAGAATTTCCGTTCATAAGGAAAGCACAAAAACGTCTTTAATTAGACGGGTGATGAAGGCCATCGTCATCGTGATCGCATCTGTTTAGATCTTCGATCTATGAATTGGAGATAAGAATGGGAGACATTGATATTAACTCTGAATAAAATATTTCATAGATCGTGTAAACCAAAAGCACCGAATTGGAGAGGAAAGCATTTACTTTGGAAGTCCAAAAACACTGGATAAACTATTTCAATTCCTTTAGTTTCCAACTGTGTAAAAATGATCCATATGTACATGCCAAATGTCAAGCTATGGTGCATTGAGTCTCCTTTATTATAATAAAGGATTAAATCCCTTATGAATGAAAATTGATTCTTATTAGTTTCTTCAATTTTTGCGCAAATTGATGTTAAATTGGTTGAATTATAAATTTGATTTCATAAGTAGGTTGGTATGTCGAATTCAGTTATCATTGAAGCTAATTTAGCTACATATTTTAGTTAAGTGATTTTCGAATTCATACGTGAATCTTTTTGTGACTTGTGTTTTGTAAAATTTTAAGGTAAATGATCTTCTTAGCCACATAAGTTGAACGTTTTCCTTAAGATTCGTTATAGAGTGATTGTTTATGTCTTGGTGTTTTTGTTTGTTATTTTCATAAAAATTGGGATTGTTTAAGCGCAATAAACAACTCTTGATTTAATGAAAATATGTAATGTTTTTCTTATGTGAATAGATTACAATTCTTATGCTTGAGTAGTTCAAGGAGACCTGCAAAATATTTTCATCATTAGACGTTAAAGTTTATTAAAGTGTATCAAATGTTCTTCATGAATACTTTGTGCATGGGAGTTAGAATGAAAGAAAGATTCGCTCTTTTATAAACTTTTTCATCTTTTGGAATCATTATTTGAGCGCTTGAGGTGAGTGGGGGTTCAAAGTAACCAAAAGGCCTTTGAATCTTTGACTCCGGGCC